CGCGAGGTTTCTTGGGCCATCGGGAGGCGAACCTTGGTTCCACAGTCTATCACTCTCACCGCCAGGTAACTACCGACCCTGTGTTAGTAAAGTTATATGTGGTCTGCTTGATCAGTATCATTCTTACTGACCTTAATGATTGTATCATTCTTATTGACCTTAATGATTGAAGTACCGACCTTGTGTTAGTAAAGTTATATGTGGTCTGCTTGATCAATATCGTTCTTATTGACCTTAATGATTGAACCAATCATTAAGGTCAGTAAGAATGATACTGATCAAGCAGACCACATATAACTTTACTAACACAAGGTCGGTAGTTCAATCATTAAGGTCAGTAAGAATGATACTGATCAAGCAGACCACATATAACTTTACTAACACAAGGTCGGTATATCATTCTTATTGACCTTAATGATTGAACTACCGACCTTGTGTTAGTAAAGTTATATGGTGGGTGGTGATGACTAGCTGCCTTCCCTCTAGTCTTTCACTGCTAAATTAGGGACGGCTAGTGCAGATAGCTCTCGTGTAGTTTTGGGCGAAATTCAAAACAAACAAACATTTTAAAAAAGCACGGCTTTGGTTAGGAAACTGAACAAAAGTACTGATATTTCATCCCTGCAGAACCTACAATCTTTAGTAAGTCGCGAATTTAGGGTTAAAACAAATAAAAAGATTTCGTGGCCGTCACTGCTACAAAACGACATAGAGAACTCGACTCTTGTTGACGACCACCGATAATGAGGGGGTACAAAATAACGACCTCTATCGAGCTGGGAGAAAATCAATTATAGCTCGTTTGTTACAGTATTTCGCAAAAAGATATACAGTCTTCCCTAATTTTGAGATTATAGACTAGAGGGAAGGTAGCTAATCAAACAGTGCCCTCTACCAACTTTTAGGCTACTCTTGTCTGGCCGAACATTAGGATTTCGCGAGCATTTTTATGGCGCACCCACGGCCACAAAGGCCAGAGCGCATTTTTGCATCAACGAATCAGAATCCTTTAATCTTCCAATTATCAGTCTGGGCACAGTAACCTTTGGGCCACGCCCGCTCCGAAAAAAAGATATTTTTTTAACACGAACTTAATATGAATACACCCTAAAACTGGTAAAATGTGACCCATATGGAAACAAGAAAAAAGAGAAACGGACAAAGCATAGAAATACAAGTCACTGAAAAGGAAAATTAGCCAATGTGTCTGGTCAATCGATGCTGAAAATGAACTCGTATAAATACCCCCCCCCAAAAAAAGGGTGAAACATAACCCCCAAAAATTTAAAAAAAAAGAACAGATAACCTTCATTAGATCAGGAAGAATGTGTATGAACACATGGTGCACCACCTCCTCCCTGGACAATCTAATACATTGAAAAACAGTGTTAATAAGATTGATGGCTCTTCCAGAAGTTTCTTTTTCCATCATGGGATTTCAACGACAGCTCGAGAGAAGAGTCTTAGATACATACAAGAAATAGAAAGCTATTTCATATACTTTATATATATATACATGTCAATATCCCATCACCCCTTCTTCTTAAGTACTGCTGAATGACCTACCCCGAAATGATAACTCGTCGAGAAAGACGCGCTACCTTTTCAACCAGAAGAAAGAAAATACCCTCCAACTAAAAAACATACAATTCTTTGCAGTTCCAGCTCCTTCTTTTTCATTATTTGAAGATATTAATAACGCACGAGCTTTGAAAACGTGGTGTTTCAACTCCGAGTTGTTAGTGATCGAGAGAAAACTGTTAACCGTAATGTTTTTTTCGGCTAAAGAAATAATAGCAAACTTATCAGTTCGTTTATTGATCACAAAGATTCTAGTCTATAAATATTTCCATTTTAGAAAACACAAAATTTATGATGAATTGTTTTTCCTAGTTTTAATTTTAATGATTATTTAGTAAAGTTACAGAATCTTGCATTTTTTTTATATTCTTAAACTGGTAAGAAGAAAACATCTAAGTTGTTCCGTTGCGCGTACCCCCCCCCATTGGCACAGTGGCATGCTTGCGGAATTACACCGCTAAAAATCGCGTTTCGATACCCGTGGTGGGCAGAGCATAGATAGCCCATTGTGTAGCTTTGTGCCCATTCTGGCCCGGCATGGCCAGATGGTTAGGGCGCTTGACTCGCAATCTGAGAGTCGCGGGTTTGAGTCCCCATCCCACCAAACAGCCGTGGGGGCGTTATAATGTAACGGTCAATCCCACTATTCGTTGGTAAAAGAGTAGCCCAAGAGTTGACGGTGGTTGATGATGACTCGCTGCCTTCCCTCCAGTATTTCACTGCTAAATTAGGAACGGCTAGCGCAGATACCCCTGGAGTAGCTTTGACCGAAAATTTAAAAAAAAAAAAAAACTTCCGTTCAATGCACTGACTGATACACATCTGTGACAGCACGCGATCGTCTGTCTTCTTAGCGAGGATCTTTTAAAAAAAAATTCTTATCTCGAGGGAGAGGCGCACGCACGTGATAACCTTGCCGTCGATTGTAAATTTTTGTCAGACATAGAGAAATTGAGAGCTTGCTTTCAATTTCACGTGAATAGTTTTTATCTAGTCTTTGTTTGCTGCCATGAATGTTCAACATCTGGCCTACTGGGTAAAGATTGAAGGGCTCAAAGTTCGAGAAGCGTTGCCACACATTCAGCTGAGGGCAAGTTATAAAAGTGACAGTCAATTTCGTTTTTCTATTCAAAGAGCTGGACAAGCCACTTGTCACGGCAGGTCTTGTCGATTGACAGCCTTCCCGCTGGACAGAACCTCAAAATTAATTATAATTGTACCTGAGCCGTAAGGGTCACTGACCTGACCGTTTACCTCATAAGTTGAAAATTCCAATTTCCTTTAAAAAAAAATCATATTTGTACCAAGTTGGGTAAACGTTGTAAGTTACATCCATGAGGTGGCAGCACTGTTGCACATGTTCCAGATTATCAACGAACGAGACGACGTACGTAAAGTTTGATGAACTGACATCAGTAATTGTCATGGGGTGCAGGAGAGCAACACCGATACTCTCACTCTTTTTTTTTTAATTAAAAAATAGAGAAATAATATTTAATGTTGTGGAGGTGCTATATAAACTACAAATAAAATATGAATTTTTATCACTCGGATACGTGAGTTTGTTGCATAAACGTAATTAAAAAGAAAAATGAAATACCAGAAGTGCAACCATCAAGTGCATTTGAGTAACTCGGGGTCTAGATATTTATGAAGATTTAGCTGCAAATCAAGCTATCAAAAGTAACACCACAATTATTCTATTCAAACGACTAATATTCTGGATTTTTTTAAAAATAAAAGAGCACATTTCAGAGTTATTGATTTCAGTTATGTAGTTTAACTTTTAAACAAAGGAAAATTCTCAACAATCCCAAGTTTCTCACTAAATTGCAGTCGCGAATTCGAAAGTAGGAAAACGTAATTATTTTGTCATTTTGATTTAAATTAGCATAAAAATTGTTATTTTTTTATCATTGTTACAAATTATGTTTAGTTTAAACATATTTTTTATGTTAGATTTTGTACAGGAAGTTGTAAATAGTTCACCATTAAGATATCAGGTTGAAGCATCGCAGAATATTCAGTAATATTATTGATCCATTACAAATGTATCGTTAAGTGTCTATACATTGTTATAAGCCTACAGAATATTCAGTAATATTATTGATCCATTACAAATGTATCGTTAGTGTGTAAAACATTGTTATAAGCCTACAGAATATTTATAAACATTGTTCGATCCATTACAAATGCACCGTTAAGTGTCTATACATTGTTATAAGCCTACAGAATATTCAGTAATATTATTGATCCATTACAAATGTATCGTTAAGTGTGTAAAACATTGTTATAAGCCTACAGAATATTTATAAACATTGTTCGATCCATTACAAATGTATCGTTAAGTGTCTATACATTGTTATAAGCCTACAGAATATTTACAAACATTGTTCGATCCATTACAAATATACCGTTAAGTGTGTAAAACATTGTTACAAGCCTATATAATGTTTAGTAGTATTGTTAGTTAATTATACTTTTATCTGTATTTCTAATCATACCTCATTCAGACAAAAAAAATCCTCATTTTAGGAAGACGCACAAGTTCATCTTGACAGGTATGTTTCAGGTTTTTATACAAATTTTGTTTTTCTCTTTTAACTGAGAAAGGATAAAAAAAAATCTCAAGCCAGAGCCTTAAACGAATAAGTATTTCTTTTTATTGGGATAAAGATAATTCCAGTTTATTCACAGTGAAAACAGACAGAAGTATAATTAAATATACCTTCCAAAGTCGACGCTGTACTTGCACGTGGAATTATATATGTGTTTAACACGTGTTCATTGGCGTTTTCTTCTTCTTCTTCACGATTAACTTCCAAAATCACTCGGTAGAGGAACGTTACACAAGTAATACACTTATATTATAAATAACCAGTTGTTTTGTTTACCAGTTAGGATATTACCTAAGGTATTAGAAGTTTAAAACCAACATTTAGAAATATAGCACATACATATATAAATCTAGAACATTTATACTGCTGGTACGAAGAGAAAGGAAAAGAAAAAAAATTTCATAGTCAGGTTGATTTGTATCTTACATAATTGCAGGCACTCCACTCTGATATACAAAGTAAAGCTTGTGACGTTTTAAAGAACCATCACAGCTAAATGTGATAAGTTTAGATAGATGGTCACGTTATTTACCGAATATGTGATAACAGCAAACTAAGATAGTTTCCATGATATGGTCCCAACGTTAGGCCTATTAAAGATCGGCCATATTGTTGTTGTGCCCCCTTGTGGATAAATGATATCATAATTACGTATATTTCGACAATATTTCTTTGGATATGTTTACTAGAAAATGACGCTTAGATGATGAACAGTGTTTCTTTTATATGAATTATTTATCATCTAACGTTTACAATAAGATTTGCTAGCTCATACGTTCTTAGGGCTACGTTTACAATAAGATTTGCCAGCTCATACGTTGTTAGGGCTACGTTTACAATAAGATTCGCCAGCTCATACGTTCTTAGGGCTACGTTTACAATAAAATTTGCCAGCTCATACGTTGTTAGGGCTACGTTTACAATAAGATTTGCCAGCTCATACGTTCTTAGGGCTACGTTTACAATAAGGTTTACTAGCTCATACGTTGTTATGGCTACGTTTACAATAACATTTGCCAGCTCATACGTTGCTAGGGCTACGTTTACAATAAGATTTGCCAGCTCATACGTTGTTAGGGCTACGTTTACAATAAGGTTTGCTAGCTCATACGTTGTTAGGGCCACGTTTACAATAAGGTTTGCTAGCTCATACGTTGTTAGGGCTGCGTTTATAATAAGATTTTTTCTATTTCAAGATTGTTAGGGGTACGTTTACAATAAGATTTTTCCATTTCATGATTGTTAGGGGTACGTTTACAATAAGATTTTTCCATTTCAAGATTGTTAGGAGTTTATTAAAAATACGATTTTCTAGCTTATGCAATATGGAAATACGTGTATAACCAGATTTTCCAGGTTATGCATTGTTAGAATTCCGCTTGCAATAAGATTTTCTAACTTATACAATATAGGAATAAGTTTAAAACAAGATTTAACAGGCCATGCGTTGTTGGAACATGATTTAATAGGCCATGCCTTGTTGGAACAAGATGTAATAGGCCATGTATTTTTGGAACATGATTTAATAGGCCATGCGTTGTTGAAACAAGATTTAATAGTCCATGCGTTGTTGGAACTATGTTTGTAATAACATTTTGCATCTCATAAAGTGTTAGAAGTTTGTTTACAATAAGATCGTCCAGCTTATCCATTATTAGAAGTACGTTTACAATACAATTTTACACATCATAATTTGGTAGGACTATATACATGATAAGATAAATGTCTTCTTGATCAACATGAATACTAATCTAATTCACCCATTTCTTACAACTAGATATTAGACGTTACCAGTAATTTAACCAGATTACAACTAGATATTAGACGTTACCAGTAGTTTAACCAGATTACAACTAGAGATTAGACGTTACCAGTAATTTAACCAGATTACAACTAGATATTAGACGTTACCAGTAATTTAACCAGATTACAACTAGAGATTAGACGTTACCAGTTGTTTAACCAGATTACAACTAGATATTAGACGTTACCAGTAGTTTAACCAGATTACAACTAGATATTAGACGTTACCAGTAGTTTAACCAGATTACAACTAGATATTAGACGTTACCAGTAATTTAACCAGATTACAACTAGATATTAGACGTTACCAGTTGTTTGACCATATATCTAACCTCACAATTTCTGTAATAACCAGGTATCTAACCTCACCGTTTCTGTATTAACCAGGTATCTAACCTCACCGTTTCTGTAATAACCAGGTATCTAACCTCACCGTTTCTGTATTAACCAGGTATCTAACCTCACCGTTTCTGTAATAACCAGGTATCTAGCCTCATCGTTTCTGTATTAACCAGGTATCTAGCCTCACCGTTTCTGTAATAACCAGGTATCTAACCTCACCGTTTCTGTAATAACCATATATCTAACCTCACCGTTTCTGTATTAACCATATATCTAACCTCACCGTTTCTGTATTAACCAGGTATCTAACCTCACCGTTTCTGTATTAACCAGGTATCTAACCTCACAATTTCTGTAATAACCAGGTATCTAACCTCACAATTTCTGTAATAACCACATTACCAGGTATCTAGCCTCACCGTTTATTTAATAATTGGGTCCTCACTTTTTTGACATATAAACGAGTAACGATAACAGTAATATCCTAACAACCGGAGATCTTACTTTACAAGTTATTTTATTTTCCTTTTACTGTATCAGCCACGTTACACTATCATAGAAAGTAGAATCAGTCGCATCACCAGAGGTCTCCAATGAATACAAAAACAACCTTATAGTAGTCCTTAAAACTAGAGGGGGGGGGGCACACAGTAGATCACATAGCTCCGCCAAGCCACGCAGAGTTGATCATATTCGGCCCGCAAAAAATAGGATTGTTTGTTCGTATGTACGTCGTTATCAACGGACACGGACCATTTTTGTCAGGACAATGATATACCACATATGTCCACAAACGTTTCATCAAAATTCGACCATTTTTTGACTGAATTATAGAGCAGAAATCGGTCGCCATGCTAACAAAAATTAACCACTTCTAAGTTGAGTCATTGTTCAAATGTATACCAACTTACGTCCTAATCCATTCAGCCTTTTCTCGAGAAATCTTGAACAAACTAAATTCTGTTTTACCACAACCCTTACAACATAATTACTTGAATACTTCCTGCTTTAATACAACCTTTTGTTATGAAATATCGGGAATAAATTCTAATTTATCACAACTCGTGTAACAATTATATAACGGAATATTAATTTGTGACAGTCTTTTAAAAATAATCACTTTTATCACATTATAATCACGAAATAATTCTCACTTCACTACTGTCATATAATCATATGAATGACCGGTTCACTACTGTCATATAATCATATGAATGACCCACTACTACAGCTCATGTCATATAATCATATGAATGACCCACTACTACAGCTCCTGTCATATAATCATATGAATGACCCACTACTACAGCTCCTGTCATATAATCATATGAATGACCGGTTCACTACTGTCATATAATCATATGAATGACCCACTACTACAGCTCCTGTCATATAATCATATGAATGACCAGATCTTATCACATTGCTTTAATCTAACCCTTCTAATCATAGTATTAAATCCTACTCTGATCCAACCCATCTACTGAGATGAATAAATCTTAACCCCTTCTGATCACTGATAAAAACCTTAATTTAATATAACCTTTATTACCACAAATCTAAATCTTACTTTAACCTAATCCTTTTGATCACATGGCTAAACCTTGTTTTAACCTCAATCCTAAATCTTTTTTAATCTAACTCTTCTAATCACATGATTAAATCTTACTTTAATCCAATCCTTTTAATCACATGATTAAATCTTACTTTAATCCAATCCTTTTAATCACATGACTAAACCTTGTTTTAACCGCAAGCCTAAATCTTTTTTAATCTAACTCTTCTAATCACATGATTAAATCTTATTTTAATACAATCCTTTTAATCACATGACTAAACCTTGTTTTAACCTCAATCCTAAATCTTTTTTAATCTAACTCTTCTAATCACATGATTAAATCTTACTTTAATCACATGACTAAACCTTGTTTTAACCTCAATCCTAAATCATTTTTAATCACATGACTAAACCTTGCTTTTTCAAAACTCTTATAATTACTTAAACTAAATCGTATTTCATCATTATCTCTGATAAATGATCACACGAAGAGAAGCCTAGTTGGTATGCATGTTTATAACATAGATTTAAATTCACTTAACTAGGAATATGACTTTCAAAATCTGATAAATACAAAGCTCATTTTATAAAATAGGTTTTTGTAGTTTTTTTAATCATTTGTTTTTCACCAAGACGTTTTCAACAGTGGTCTGTACACACACATTTGACTGTGAACATTACGTTCTTAGAAACAATGTTTTCAGTTTCGCCGTCGGGATGACCACAACGAAAGGGCACTTTGACCGTAGTGGACAACTGAGGTTGACAACACTGGTACCCGGAACACATCCCACAAAACGTTGAACGATAAGCCCTGACACTGGTACAGTTTCCGTCGTCTGTGAGTTTGGCGGGAAAAGAACTTTTTACTGTACTCCGGCAGTGACGGTGGCGCTGTAAATAGGCGTAATTTATGTTAGAATCGTAACACTAGTTTTAAAGGGCAACACAAATATATATCATCTGTTTTTCCTTCCAGTGGCTCAGCGGTACGCCTAAAAGCTTATAATTCTAAACACCGGGGGTTTTGATCCCCCTGGTAGGCGCAGAACAAATTGCCACAATTTTTGCTTTGCTCTTAACAACAACAAAAAAAAAACAAAAAAAACGTAGTTTACTCAGTTATGGTATCGTCATAATCATAATTACAGGACCTCAGACACATCTTCCAACACTGAGAAACGCCTTTCACTATTTTCTTGCCAGATTATAGTCTCAGATATACAGGCAGCGGAAAAAAATGTTGTTGTTTTTTTTTTTTGGGGGGGGGGGGGCACCGACGTTTGAGGACACATTATTTGTTATGTTGAAACAGCGAATTTTCCTGCTAATTATACATAACTATCTATTTTCCGTTCAAAGGGACACTTCACTACTGAGTAAAAAGTTGGGGATACGTCTCCCCCTGGTTTCTCCATTAATTTTTTTTTATTGACGACAGTTCGTGTACCAAGTCCGATGTTTCTCAAGTATCGCACTGAAAAAGTTGTCTGTATACTGCAGATTTAGGTGGACAGCGGCAAGTCTTCGGATTTACCATGCTAAAATCAGGGGTTCGATTCCCCTCGGTGGACACAGCAGATAGCCCGATGTGGCTTTGCTATAAGAAAAAAAACACACACGTACCAATTGGGTCATTGGAGGGGGGGGGGGCGAGCTGACAGTACTGAAAGCTTTTGATATATTCAATATGGCGGCTATAATTTTGTGTAATAATAATTGTAATTTTTTATATGCTTTTGTGTTACCTTAAGCAACTACTGTTTAAATTCGTTCAGCCTACAGACACTTTTTATATACCGATTGGATTACTATAATTATTTATGTCCAACTTGTTTCAAAAGTTGAAAATAAAACGCATTACGATAAACCAAGCAATAGAATAAATGTAAAATAAACACACACACACACAAAAAGAGTCCCACTTCTTATAATAGAATTAAAACACGGTAAACGAAAAAAAAGAATTTACTTACATGTAAGTAATAAATAAGTAAGTAAAAACTTGAAAATGTACCCTCATTCGGCCATGACGAATCGCTGTGCTTTCGCCTGTTTCCATGGGGACGGTCTCACAAGGCCGCAGCTGACACAACCTTGTGTCCCTCCGCGGCAAGCAGTCGTTGTTGTCATTTGTCATCCTGTATGATATTCCTACTCCACACGTCACTGAGCACGTGCTCCATGGCGAGAAGTGTCGGATACAGCCACCTATCTTTTCTGAATCGGAAGGAATTCAAGCTGTTTAGTTCACAGTTTGATTTTGTTGCTTATTTCAGATCACTTGATAGCTTGCCCATAAATTCAACTACAATTCGTTATACGGGAAACTACACTCGGTACAGTATGTGAGGCAAACCAATCTACAACAAAAGATACGAGTGCTTTCGAAGGGTGGCTCTTTCCTCTACAGAGGGCAAATTGATTAGTATAAACATAGTATAAAGAAGATGAGTTTTTCTTTCACGTTCATTTTAAATCACACGTTCAAGGTTTTAGCCGAGAGTGCGGTAATGAGTGACTCAATCTTAGTTTAACTCAACCCGTCTAATCACGTGACTAAAATCTTAGTTTAACTCAACCCGTCTAATCACGTGACTCAATCTTAGTTTAACTCAACCCGTCTAATCACGTGACTCAATCTTAGTTTAACTCAACCCGTCTAATCACGTGACTAAAATCTTAGTTTACCTCAACCCGTCTAATCGCGTGACTAACTCTTACTTTAACCCAACTCGTCTAATCGCTTGACTAAGTCTTACTTTAACCCAACTCGTCTAATCGCTTGACTAAATCTTTAACCCAACTCGTCTAATCGCGTGACTAAATCTTTAACCCAACTCGTCTAATCGCGTGACTAAATCTTTAACCCAACTCGTCTAATCGCTTGACTAAATCTTTAACCCAACTCGTATAAGCACGTGACTAAATCTTACTTTAACCCAACTCGTCTAATCGCGTGACTAAATCTTACTTTAACCCAACTCGTCTAATCGCGTGACTAAGTCTTTAACCCAACTCGTCTAATCGCGTGACTAAATTTTTTTAACAAACTACTTTTTCAGTTAAAACATTAAACACTTTATATAAATACCTTATCCTTTCAGTGAATGTTAAATTAATACTTTAACGGCAGAGTTCAATGTTTGAGACATTTATCAAATTATTATGGAATTAACAGGAAGTTTTAATGGTTAATGGAAATTTAAAACATCACTGCAGAAATGCTGAAAATGACACAATTTCATATAGAATTATTTAGTTAACATCATTGTAGACATTTTGGCAATAAAGATTGGAAAAAAAACTGCCTTTTCTCTCTAGATAATTAGAAAAAAAAATATTTCAGCTAACGTTTCGCCACTGGGGCTTCAATAGACCAGTAGTACAAGAACTTTTAACTAAACAGTTCATGTATTACTAGCCCTGGTAATGGCGAAACGTTGGCTGTAACAAAACGGTTTATCATTATTACTGCCCCCCAGTGGCACAGCGGTATATCTGCAGACTTACAACGCTAGAAACCGAGTTTCGATACCCGTGGTGGGCAGAGCACAGATAGCCCATTGTGTAGCTTTGTGCAACATTATTACCACCTGGAGAGTAGAGGTCGTATTTTTTTTTAAACCATAATTGCCATAATATGAAAGCACTGTTCGAAAAACTTTTTCAGGAAACATTTTTTTCGATATTTTAGTAGCGTGTGAATTGAACGTGCAGTTGTTGTATCTTTGATTTGCAGAAGACAAAAGAACACCCTGAAGCCTTACCTTCGTTCGGTTCACATAACCACTCTTTACAGCACGCTCCAGTTATTCGTACAAGTTGAGGGTTTCGGCATTTGGGGGAAGGGCGGATGTTCTCGTGAGGACACAGGGACACACACCCGTACGATCCATTTTGGCACGTGCACTTGGTTTTACAGTCCAGCTTAAAAGTCTCTCCATCTGCGTAGGACACGCCGCCTACTTGACAACCAATTTCCTTCCGAGCTGGAAAGTATATACATATAAAAAAAACGTAAAGATGTAAACATCTTGAGATTTCTGTATAAAATTCCATTGGATTTTTATATATAGTAATCTCAAGGGATTGTATACATGCTAGCCCCAAGTAGCTTTTCTGGACCTTAGGATTTCTGTGTAGAGGTCCCATGGGTTTTAAGTGTCTGATATTCTATCTCAGTAAACTAAAAACAAAAAAAACACGTTAGTATGTTAGATTTAATTTTTTTAAATATATATATAAACTTACACTTGTTTGTAAATTATATAACAAGTTATTTTATAGGCATTTACACTTACTTCTAAACTTTCTACAATTAGGCCTACAAAAAAAGCTACACAATGAAATAAGTGCACTTCTTCTACCGCGGAGAATCGAACCCCGGATTTTACTGTTTTAAGTCCGTAAACTTGCCGCTTGTTAAGGTATCTAACATGATACCGTTTATTATATTTTTTTTTGCCAAACTTTCTACCTTTACAAACTTAAGAAGTTTTAGGGGGGCGGGGGGACTTGCGTGGTCTAGTAGTTAGGGCGCTCGAATCGCAATTTGCGGGTTGCCGGATCGAAACCCGTCGTCGAACGTTATAATGTGGCGGTCAATATCAGTGTTCCTTAGTAAAAAGTAGCCCAACAGTTGACGGTGGTTGGTACAAACTGACCACCTTCCTTCCAGTCTATCATTTCTGAAGTAAGAACGGACAACGTAGCTGACCCTCAAGCTAGCTTTACACAAATGCACAAAATTCAACGTACGTTCTCTCTGGTCAGCAGTTCCCAACCATAAATACAAAATACAAGTTATTATTTGACCAATGAAAGATATGACAGTATTAAATGAATTTAATATATATATTCCCACGCTTTGTAACTGCTTCTATCTCTAAATTACCGCTGGTACAAAACCAAGAGTTTCCAAGAATATAAACACAGGAAGGTTACCATAGTAAAAGCACGAAGTTACCGTTACATATTCCTGTCGTATCGAGCGGGGCCTGGTAGAAACACTTCAGGTTTCGGTTGTCGTCGCATACGTTCACCTTGTCGCACACGTCTCCTTGTTGGCGGGCGCAAACAGGACAGCAGCCACATCCGTCGGTGACGATCGCGACACCCTCTGGACAGATGGGATTACCCGATGGACAGTGACATGGGTAAGAACACCGACCTCTGACCTGCGTAGAGAATTGCATACGAGAATGAATATTAATGATCCTGGAAAAGAAAATAAAGTCTACACGTTATACGAACATAAAACTGACTTTATGCTGGGATCAACCAGCCTGTTAAGTCTACTCGTTATACGAACATAAAACTGACTTTATGCTGGGATCAACCAGCCTATCAAGTCTACACGTTATACGAACATAAAACTGACTTTATGCTGGAATCAACCAGCCTGTTAAGTCTACTCGTTATACGAACATAAAACTGACTTTATGCTGGGATCAACCAGCCTATCAAGTCGGTGGAGGATGTTTAATACCGACGTTTTTCTGACTTCACTGTAAGATAAACCAACCTATCCATGCACGTCGGTAGAAGAGGTTTAATACTGACATTTTACTGACTTCACTGTAAGATAAACCAACCTATCCACGTGAATATAGAAGGTTTAATACTGACGTTTTCCTGACTTCACTGTAAGATAAACCAATCTATTCATGCACATGGGTAGAGAGGTTTAATACCGACATTTTACTGACTTCACTGTAAGATAAACCAACCTATACACGTGAATATAGAAGGTTTAATACCAAGGTTCTAGCTCAGTATGTACATATATACACACACAAAGTTAATTTTCCACTTAATTTTTCCTAATTCTTCTCATTATTCTGGTTTAATCTGATGAACTTTCCTATATTAGAAGACTCGGATACCTAATGAATGATACTTCTCTAACCAATTACCGTGTGAGCATCACCAGTTTTCTGTTAATGCTCTAATTATTAACATTCTTAGTTTTCCTGTAAGCAATGTTAATGTTTCCCTACTTATGGAAAGCACTGGATATTAGAGAGGATGTCATATGGAAGCGTCGTATTGTGAGATATTTACATTTCAGTAATATTTAAATGTACATTCTTTGCTCTGCTATTCTAAATTGTGAGTAATAAAGAACAAATCTTTTTACGAACACCACGAGTAACAATTATCTGAGGAATAGGTACATAATGAACATATTAAACCCGCTTGTTGAATGTACATAATGAACATATTAAACCCGCTTGTTGAATGTACATAATGAACATATTAAACCCGCTTGTTGAAT